TTTAAAACTATTTTTGCGTGCACTGTTTCTGTGTGTGGGTCAGTGTGTATATCCTCACCAGTGCTCTGTCTCTGATGTTGTTCCTGGAGTTGAGGGTTCCTCCACTGGTGATGGTGGTTTCGTACAGTGTGTAACCATACGACTGCCCATTGTTATTGTTGACAGGTAGATTCTCCATGTTCACTGGTCTCTCTGACCTGTATGGCTGGATGAATAATCAAACACCTACGGGTATTAGATACAGGAGTCTGACAGAGATCTCTGAAAACAATGAAATTAATTTTGTATTAGTGTGGTTTTACAGGCAGGGCAAGATACCATCATATACGTGTGCATACATGACACTGCAACACACTTGGAATAACATATCAGCATATGACAGATACTTCTTTAAAAAATAGCAGGTGTGTTGACACCATGATGCATGACCAAACCCGAGCTGCCAGGTGTGAGACATCTGTCTTAAGCATGAGCAGCATGTTGCTACATCTCTACACAAGTGGAAACACCGACACAGACACATAGGCTGATAACAGAGATGTTCTGTCTGTCTGAAGCTCACCACAGCTTACAGCTTGCTCTCACCCCAGCAGGTCCCTTTATATATCCGATGGTATGGATAAAACATTTTCATTTTCCACTATATGATCAACTGTTATATGTTTCCTGTCAGTACCCCACCTTGTCAGTGAAGTGCAGGCTGTCCCACAGTGACAGGTGCTGCTGGATGGCAACAGGGTGGTATGCGCTCCTCTCCTGAGGAGAGGGTACTTCAGGAAGAGGCTCAGCTGGAGCAGAAATTGGCAAGAACATTTAATTGATGCTAATTATGACAGACTCAATTACTCTGGACAATAAAAGCAATCAAAACTCATCAAATTACGTGCTAGATGTACATATTATCATAACATTTATGATAATAACTCATCCAATCATTGCATATGGAAGCTTAAACAGGCATTACAGTGGTACTGGCTGAATAAAGTCCTCAAGAGGTGATATTTTGGGGTGCAATCTCCGGCCTCAGTGAGCGGAGCATCGTAATCTGCAATGAAAACATTTACATATAAGAAGCAATGCATTTGTTAAGGGGAATCATATTCATTAAAAATCTTGACACATCCTTTGTTCTTTGGTCTCTGAGCCCTGGGGTAATTCCTACCAACCGTAACTGGTGACCTGAGGCCTGTAGGTGCCAAAGTCCATCGCTCCATTCATGAAGCCAAAGCTGGTTCCCCCATGGAACATGTACAGATTAATAGAGACACCTCTCGCCAGGATCTCTGACACAACGGCAAGCATATCTACAAATCGAGTGATGACACAATACAGAGAGTGAGCCAAAGAGCAATATGCAGCAATGAATGAGTGGTTAAGTAAGGCTCTCTTCCGTCAGTTGAAGTGTCCTTGAGTAATACCTGAGCGACATTCTGGATGTCTGAAATCAGACGTTGACCGTTGTGAAGCTTGTAAGTGTGTAACAGGATAAATGGGATGCAGAGTGATGCTGAAAATGAGCAAAACTGTTCAGTGGAAAATAAAGACAGTTAAAAAATTTGTGTCCATACCCTCAGCATGGAACACATGGTGATGTTCTCCCCAGACGTCAAACCAGCCTGACCAGTACTCCATCACCATTAGAGGTTTCTGGGGCTACACAAAACAGAACACATGCCTGCACTGTAATTTAAGTCATAGCAAGGCTTTAATGACAAAATCATCCAACATTTTCTCTTTAAACTTTTAGCCAGTGCTCTTGCAAAATACTAAACATTATGCTAATATAAACAACAAAGATTTTTTCCCCCGAAGTAATAAGCTACAAAGCTACCCATGATCTTTTACCTGTATATCAGCTAAGTGCTGGATTGCTCCGAACGACAGTCTCTGCAGGTTTATCGTTTGAAGAACTGAAATGAGCGAGATTTAGATCAAAGGAAGGACAAAGTCAAACTACATCATGAATAGAAAATATTCATATAGGGAGAATAAATTCAAGCACAATAAAACTAAGTTACAATACAGTAAAAATAAATATTTTAGGCAGTCCTCGTTTTCCTTTTTGTTATCTTCATTACCTCCCTCCATCCCTCCACATCTCAGACCCTCCCAGTTGTCTGAAGTCAGCAGGAGCTCCTTGATCCCTCTGGACTCGAGATACTTCAGGAGAAGACAAAAATATGTTTTGCATGATATCTTAATGTAAAACTCAGTAAAAAAGAAATATTACAATACATCAGTAAACTCACGTTCTTTATAAATGGCATGTAGTCCTCATCTTTGGCATATGATCCATACTCATTTTCAACTTGGACTGCAATGATCGGGCCTCCCTCCTCAAACTGAGAAAGCAAACATGGAAAATAAATGTGTGTTTCAGGAAATATCATAACACAACTTTGAGTCTGACTTACCATGAGAGGTTTGATAACTGAGACAAGCTTGTCAAAGTAGAGGTTGACAGCATCTACAAATCCAGGATAAGTGGTCCTCAGCTGCATGTTTTTATCTTGTAACAACCAGCTGAAAGAAACACAAGAACAGTTTCCTGGCATACTGCTTATATATGGCAATGTTTTAAAGCAATGGCCAGATGGTGTTACCTAGGCAACCCGCCCAGGTCCCATTCAGCGCAGATGTAAGGTCCAGGACGCAGGATCACCCACAGACCCATCTCTGCTGCTAGAGTGACGTAGGCCCTGAGAAAGGCAGAGAGACCTTCTGCTTCAGTTCAAAAATAACCACACTGCATGTGTTCGGGGAATATTTACTGTCTACAAAGAAGAAACTGAACATTAAAGATTTACTTGAGGTCCAGCTGATCTTGAAAGTTGAATGTTCCTCTCTCAGGCTCATGCAGATTCCATGGCACATACCTGAAAGAGCAAAGCAGAAAACAATTCTTTGTAGCTTATACACAACAGTGTGGTCCAGCAGCTGGTAAAAAAATCCATATTTGCTTTCTTTCTATTTCATTTCAAGGTGAACTAATACGCCATTTCATACAGACAGGCATTTGATTTAATCTGATTTGTGTTTGACCCTCTCCAGTAACACAATAGTGACAATCCTGTGATGTGAGACATTGTCAAGTTGCAGTGGGAGCCTACGTCGTGAGAGTATTCAGGCCACAGGCCTTCATCTTCAGCAGTCGGTCCTCCCAGTAGGCTCTGGGGACACGGAAATAATGGATGGAGCCCCCCAGGATGAGGAAAGGCTCTCCCTCCAGAGTGAACTGAGATGAGTCGGCTCGCAGACCCTCCACACGGCTCATTCTTCTCACTTCAGGGTGATGCCTGGTGGGGAAATAACTGTTAGATAAGAAAATATTGTGAAAGGCTCAGCATCTGCAGCAGGTCATACATGCTGGATAATAGAATTCAAAGGTGTACATGTGTTACTGTAATAAAACCTTACAAACAGCGATTACAAATGATGCATATGCATATAGTATGACTATGACTGGCACAAAATAAATGTTATTTTTCTATGAGCAAAATAAAAATAAAAACTCACCAAGACTTGACATGAAAGTCCCAAATGCAGGATGATTTAAAATCCCAGCTACATCAAAAACATTGTTGTACCTTGAAGCTGAGCTTGCCAGGGAGCATTTGAAGGGAGGATGGTGCTGGGAGGCCTCAAACACTGTGGATAAGGGAAACTATTGTTGTTCTAGAACAAAAAATATAATAGTGCTCTGTCTCTTTCTCTCTCTCCCTCTCTCAGACAGAGAAGGGAGGCATTACTTTGTATACAGCAATGTTGCCCTCATGATATAGTTTACACAAAGCATGTACGCTGATACCCCGTACATGGTTCTAAATGCAGGCACAGCTTTAAAATAAGGCACTATGTGTGACTGTGGTCACAAGTTAGTGTGTAATAGCACGAGTGAGTGTGTGTGTGTGTGTGTGTTGTGTGTGTCATGTTGTTTTTCCTCTCTGCCCCAATGTGATTGTTTTTTTTCTTGCTCCTTAGAGCACATCAACTTTTTATGACTACCGATAAGATAAAAAGTCAAAACCACAAAAAAGCAAACAATAATATGTTTTTGTCTGACAACAGAAGACAAACTATTGCATATAATTTTGTCAACAAGAGTTGTCAAACAACTTCACAGATTATAATACATCTTAGATCTACATAATATATATGTTTTATCAGAGAGAAATATTCGATAGTGTCACTGCTGACACAAAAATGCAATTTGCAAATACAGATTACAGCTGAACAGACCCTTGGTCTTTGCCTAAGTACCACATTCTTGACACTGTTGTTGAAAATGTTCTGTTCTCCCATTATATGTCACAAAATTAAGCAGATTGTATGGCAGAGATATTGGAATGGGCAGTCAAAATATAATAGTCAATTATAAGTTTGCATGTCCCTGTGTCAGTGTGGGTTTCCTCCAGGTACTCCAGCTTCCTCCCACAGTCCAAAGACATGCAGATTGACTGGTGACTCTAAATTGCCTGTAGGTGTGACTGTGAGCATCAATGGTTGTCTGTTTCTATGTGTCAGCCCTGTGATAGTCTGTCACCCTGTTCAGGGTGTACCCCGCCTCTCACCCAATGTCAGGTGGGATAGGTTCCAAGGTCCCATGACCCCCAGCAGGATAGGAACCTCTGGAAAATAAATGTATAATTGTAATAATAATAATAATGAAAAGAACTGACTGATCAAAAGGTACGACATCAACAACCCACATGCAAGACGAAATTTAATTTCACCCCTCATTAAAAACGGATCGTAGGAACTCAGGCTGAAGGAGGCTGTGGGGCAGGCTATTACTTTTATTTGCCCAAAAAGACAGTCATTAAAAAGTAGCTGGAGAATAATGATATTAAATGGGTGGACGTAAAAACGATATTCCCTCTTAACTTTGGGATGTAATAGAAAAAAATATATATTCTTGAGTGAATGAATGACTTTGTTTTGAGCAAAATGAAAAAATAAAAACAAGACATCAACAGACAAAAAAGTAGGAAGAACTGTACACTTATTTAATCCGACCCCCTTGAAAATTGTCTATCCCAAACTCATTCACAACCATTAATATAAACAGATATTCTTACATACATTATATTCTCGTACACAAACTTTTTTTTTTTTTTTAACTAAAAAAGAATACAAAGCAAGGGAGGGTAAAGATAATTTCAATTTTCCGCGTTTATTCAGCAGCGTAATTGTGCGACGGTCCCTAGACAGGGGCAGCGGCACACTCGGGTGTTTACGTGTAACGTCACTTCGGGACAACTTCTAACGCCAACTTCCTCTGATAACAAGTACTGGTCACACTACCTGCAACTATGGAAAACTACAGTTGAATTTTTTCAGACCAAGTTTCGTTTTCTTTCAACTTTTAATCCCGGAAGAAACGTTACATATAACCTGGCGCTGCGTCGCCTAGATATGGGGTAGATCAACTTTGGCGTTATCCTAACATACCCTCATGTCAGACAGGTTTTGCAAAACTGGTGTTGTCTACATGATAAAGTCGTACAACAAGATATGTACTCAAATGCGCATAAAGTGAAGAAGCGTGCAGGGAGCAACTCCTACTGAAGTCCTGTTTTATGGCCACACATGGAAATATCAATGGTGGGGCGTCGTCTGTCATTAAAGAGGAGATACTGTCTTCTGCTGTGCTTTGCTGTCGGACTGTTAATCGCTTATGAGCTCACAAGGTATGCTGAGACATCTATCTATTCCCCTGTGCATTAGTTTGTTTGACTTGTTATGTCACTGCCTGTGTGCAGAAGTGTGGACTCAGCTATGAAACCAGCCAAGCTGTATGTGAACTCTGACCTCACTCACCTGCTGACCTGTGGACATTGGACATGACTAGGGTTGCACATAAAGTCACCTGTCACTGTGTTAGACTTTAGTTTGTGCTGTTTTGAGCTCATGACACCATGTAAGTGCATTTTCCCCTATTGAATCAGGGAGATAATTAGCTTCCTCTTATATTAATTTAAATCATTTTCAAAATCAAATGCCTTTAGGACAGGGAGCTATAACTGAGCCTTGCATGATGTCAAAGAAGAGGTTGTGCCTCTTGTGTTATGATTACATTCATATGCAGTGATAACACACAGGAGTGGCACGCAACTTCTGCCACCATGATTTCTGAACAGGTGCATGAGGTTTAAAGGTTCAGTGTGTATGATTTAGGGGGATTTAGTGGCATCTAGCGGTGAGGATTGCAGATTGCCACCAGCTGAAACTTCTCACGGCTACAATTCCTTCAGTGTTCATGTTCCAGGATGTTTATATCAGGAGCCGAATTATCTGCAGAGGTCTTTTCCTCTCTAAACCAAACAGACCAGGTGATTAAAACCGTTATAAACACTGAATAAAGCAGTTTCATGTTACAAATCAGAGTTTTTCGCTGCTCATTAGGGCTTCAACTAACGATTATTTTCATTGTTGACTAATCTGTCGATTATGTCTTCGATTAGCCGAGTAATCATTTTAGCGAAAAATGTGTTAAAAGATGGAAAAAGTCTGTCTGTCTTTTTTCCAAACCACAAAATTATGTCATCTAAGGGTTTTAGTTCACCGTCATGGGAGAGTGTGTAAAGCTGCCACTATTTGAACGTAAGAAGCTGCAATAAGGGTATTTTGCGGTACTTTTATAGTACTTTTCTAAAAATGACTCAAACCGATTATGCGACTACTAAAATAGTCACCGATTATTTTTATAGTCAATTCGTCATCGAGTAGTCGACTAATCGTTGCAGCCCTACTGCTCATTGTAGAGGGGCTTCTAACTACGGTGTCCATTTCAAAAGCATCAATGGCCCTATCTGGAGCCAGTGTTTGGTTTGTTAGTCCTGAGCTACTGTAGAAAAATGGCGGTGCAGCATGGCGATCTCCATAAACAAGGATCCGCTCCTTATGTAGATATAAACGGCTCATTCTAAGATAACAAAAACCTGGTTCTTATTTTCAGGTGATTATACACTGAAGAAAATATACTCTTTATATTACATTCCATTTCTACCAGTACGCCCCCTGAATTTTACACACTGGACCTTTACACTGTATATTTAGCTCACCCACAAGCTCGCTTCCCATAGAAATATGTCTCCAGTGTCTTCATGGACTCCAGTCCAGTTGCACTTGCTCAACAAAGTCTTTTTCAGTTGCAAACTGTGTTTTGCCCCCTTAGGAATCGCCTTGAAGTAGGAAGAATGAGCCGTGCGGAAGGTCTGAGGGCCAACTCGTCTCAGTTCACTCTGGAGGGAAAGCCCCTCCGCATCCTGGGAGGCTCCATCCATTACTTCCGTGTCCCCAGAGCCTACTGGGAGGACCGGCTGCTGAAGATGAAGGCCTGTGGCCTGAATACTCTCACGACGTAGGCTCCCACTGCAACTCATGGCTGGTTGGATACAGTGTACCTCAAAGCAGCAGGATGAACTGTGTCAGAGAGTTGTTTTACTGGAGAAGATTATACACAGATCAAATAGCACTTGAGTAAAGCAGAACAGAGCAGACAAAATTAATGAGGCATGAGAAAACACAAGGATGTTGTGATATATATATTTTTACAAGAAACTAATGCAGTCTTAAAAACCATGGAGTTCACTACCACCAAAATACTCAAAGCACACACACATAAAAATGTATTTAACTTCCACTTTTTTTTTTCAGATATGTGCCGTGGAACCTGCACGAGCCTGAGCGAGGGGTGTTCAACTTTGAGGATCAGCTGGATTTAGAGTGAGGAACGACAAAAGGCATTCCTGCAGATGGCACTGTTGCATCACAGCACGGCTCAGCTTTCCACAGTCTTATAATTCGATACCACTGAGAGGGTGTACATTTACCCTCAAGAAATGCTTTTGATTAATTAGCTGTGCACTCAGTCAGTATCACTGATTCTTGATTTATTGATAAGACGGCATCAATCCATCAAATGTGCCGCTTGCTGTCAAGTCTGGTGCTGAAAGCAGAGGTTGCCTCAGTCACAAATAAAACAATCTGAAAATGGCAAAAAATAATAATAATGGAGTGAAACAATTTAGAATTAATGATAATGAGATATCATTTGCAGCTGAACATCTGCTTTAATTCAGAATAATTGTCTGTCCCCACTTTTTATCTGCTGCAGTAAACATTTTAAATGGACTGCACTGAAAGTAATAGACCTCACTGACAGCACCTTCTCCACATTTTGTACCTTTCTCTTAGAGCCTACCTGCGCCTTGCAGCCAGCTTGGGCCTCTTGGTGATTCTGCGTCCAGGGCCGTACATCTGTGCTGAGTGGGATTTAGGGGGACTTCCAAGGTAATAATCACAATTAAGTGTTAGCTCTGCAGATTTTTTTTGTATTTGCCTTACACAGACTGTCTGCAGGTCCTTAACAAGTTGAAAAATGTCTTAAATTTGATTCAGTTAAATTTAAATTTGTGATATCCTAATTGTGTAGTTTCTTTTATACATGTTTTAATTTTTTTTTTTGTCAAATGTGTCAGGCTTCCCTGTGTGAAAGTCAATATACCTGATGTTACACACCTTTAAACCTAGCTCTGAAATTAATGCCGTCCTTTTACTTAATACATGCATTTACCTGCTGGCAAGATGTAGATTCACCTGACTCACTCTAGTAACCATGAAGCCTACCTGTGCACAGGACCACATGTATACGTACCTTTATACTTACCTGCAATGCTCCAGTTGTTTGTCCAAAAATGAGTCTCTAATCTGATGAAACATGATCTTGAAAAGGTCCTAAAAATCATTAAATTTAAGTGTCTGGTACCTGTACACACCCTGTTACAGTCATAGTAACATTTTAAATCATTTATTAGAATAGCCAGTGGGGTGCTAAATGAATCCTTTAAATTGGCTCGGAAATGAATTGTTCAGTCAAGTAATCTGTTTGTTAGCGGTATCTTTGCTGCAGGCTAAATCCATTAAACTCGTGGAAATAATTTAGTTATGTGAATTCAAGTGTGCCGTCTCTGTCATCTATTTGGCCAGTTTCACCAGACGCGTTGCTGCGTACTGTACAACAAAGAGTTTGTCTTGGTGAGATTGGTCCATCTCACAGTGCTGTATGTGTATGATACAAAGATGGCGTGACTTTAAGACAGGACATTATGCATCATATAACTACACCTCTTATGTTACTCAGATGAAAGTCACAGATGATTTCCCAGGCTTTTGGTGAGGTAGTAGAAAGAACAATAATTAAATCTGACAGGCACAGCTCCCTGAAAGGATGAGTTCATTTATTTCTGTAATCAAAATAGATTTGGACAGATAATGGGGTGTATGTTGGAGGGGGAAAAGACTGGAAGTAGGTATTTTTGGAGTGGTTTTGCCTCCAGGGAATGTGACGTTGAGGTAATATTTATTTGATAATCATCAAAACAGAGTGTTTCTGGGGGCACGCAGTGAAGCATGACTTCCCCTGCATTGCACTTTATGATAGTCATGCTTAGGTCGGTGCGATTATCTTCGATAGCTTTAAAAAAAAACCTAAAGAGAGTTCACAGAAGAGCACTTTGAAGAACTCTGGTGAAATGTTACTTTCTTTGCATTTTAAAGGTTTTGGTTTCTTTGCAGTTGGCTTCTACGGGACCGAAACATGAAACTGAGAACAACCTACCTGGGATTCACTGATGCAGTCAACTCCTTCTTTAATCAGCTCATTAAGAGAGTTGTTCCACATCAGGTACTTTCCATTTTATCACAAACAAATGTAAACATTAATTTAACTGATGTACACACGCACTACAATATTTTCCAGAGGCCAAATGGATAAAAAGAATATGACTAAAATACATATTTTCTCAAAGACGCAAACACTTTTTCAGTGACATCTATAAAAACAGGTCAGCATGCATGCAATCAAAAAGTATTCTGTACAAAATATATATAAATATTTTCACAATAGAGTCATTGTATTCACGGTTATATATTATCCCTGCATGCAGCATTTCTGTCATTACCTCCTCAGTAAGTGCAGCTGCTGGTGATCATTATGTTGACCATTGTTTGCAGTACAGTGCCCCATACACAGTGTAATGACTTTCATGACTGCTACAGCGAAGACATTTTCAGCTTTTGAGACCAGCACATCTAGAATGTATGAACTGGTGTCTTGTGGTGTTTTCATTATTGTATCCACCTGGAGCTCAAAGGGACAGTTCACCTCAAAATAAAAAATAAAAAATATTTCCTCTTACCTGTAGTGCTGTTTACCAATCTGGATGTTTTGGTGTGAGTTGCCAAGGGTTGGAGATATCGGCCAGAGAGACGTCTGCCTTCTCTCAAATATAATGGAACTAAATAGCACTCAGATTGTGATGCTCAAAGCATCAAAAAAATAAAAGAAGACATTTGAAAGACTCAACAGCAGTGTTACTTTTCAGAAATCATGACCCGGTTACTCAAGATAATCCACAGACTAGGGGTGTGCCACATCATCTCATTCATGATAATACCAGTATAATTTTTAATATCATATGAAAAATATATATTGTAATATTTCGACTTGCTGAAATAGCCGTACAATTACCCAAGGCAACAACAAACATGGCTGAAAGCAAAACTATTACCAACTCCACGGTGGTTCCAAAAAGAGGAACAGCTTCAGTAGTGTGGAACAAACTGTGGCGTCCTGAATGTTTTATGAACAGTCCCGGACTTCTTAGACTCTTTTAACAAGTTGCTGCTCAGAGGGAACTCATTCAGCGGCTCCTCCGGCAGCAGCACAGCGTCTCTCCCTCTCCTCTCTCGCCATGCTCACATGGGAGTTGGTGTCATCAAGTGATTTTGTCATAAACCTTTGGTAATGTAAACCTACATGACGCTCGCAGCTCGACAAAAAACTACATATATGTGTATGTGCGATAGTTGGGGTATCATAACAGTGTGTCACAGGTTACAGTGTGATGATTAGAGGAGAAATGGCAGAGCATAAAGGTCCAGGTGGAAAAAACAAATTAAAGATTTTGCTAAAAGAGAAGGAAATTGTCTGTTTATCTATAAATATAGATCCCAGGGTATATTTTATGTATTTGGGAGCTGCTGACTTACTGTTGTTGTTCACAAACTAAAGAAATTACAGATCATTTTTGTTTAGTTTTTACTTAATATTTGATGGCAAGCTGTTCTGTTGACCTGTAAAACTATATCACTGATTTTGTTGCAACTCTGTTTTCTTAAATTAATAATACAATTTCTATTTACTATTTTGTCATTGTCAAAAATATCATTATTGCTAAAATACCCTGAAATGTTGTGATATTATTTTAAGGCCATATCGCCCACTCCTACCACACACCTTGCTGTGAGCAGTTTCACATAGGAACTATTTTCTTTCTACCAGCTTCACCCACCAACAACATCACTGCACAGAAGGAAGCGTGTATCTACTGCTAGCTCACTTAGCACCACTGAGCTAGCTAATGTTACAGCTCAGCAGAGGAGGACACCGTTGATGTTTACATCTCGCGCTGTCACAGTCACAAGCCTCTCGTCCATGAGTAGATGCACTCTTCCTTCCGCGCAGTGATACAGTTGGCAGGTGTAGTTCAGTAGAAGGGAAATAGTTCCCACATGAAACTGCTCACAACAAGGTCTATGGGTTATCTTGAGTAACCGCATTGTGATTTCTGGAAGGAGACATTGCTGTTGAGTTTTTCAAATGTATATTTGGCACTTTAAGCACCACAAGCTGAGTGCCATCTAGTTCCATTATATTGGAGAGAAGGCAGACGTGTCTACGGCTGATATCTCCAACACTCAATAATTCACACCAAAACAATCAAGACTGATAAATCACACTACAGGCAAGAAGAAAAAAATGTTTTGGGGTTAAGTGTCCTTTTATTAGTTCAGCAGCCAGTTTTCCTTTTTATCAGCTCCATGCATCATTGAACAAACTCTGCTCCATTTCACAGTGTTTTTAAAACGTATCTGTATTGAGGGAACGAATGGTCAAGAGCTGGTGGCAGGCCCTAATATGTGTCCTTTCATTGGATAATTAATGTCCAGTACTCCAAGGGTGGCCCAATTATCGCGGTTCAAGTGGAAAATGAATATGGCTCCTACGCTGAAGATGACTCGTACATGCCCTTCATCAAGGAGGTAAGAAACAGAACTTGGATATTATTTCAACGGTAATTGGTAGCTCATAGATGAGAGTGCACTTATTAGGGGCCGGGCAGCCAAAGCTGCCAGGACCCTATTGTTTTGCTACATGTTCTTCTTATTCTTCTTTCGAGGAAATCATACTTCCTATGCGCGAAAAATCACCAAACTTTGCACAAAGGTCCAGTCCCATGCCAGATTGCCTCAGCTGCAAAAACAGGCCAATAGTCCTGATGGTGGTGCTACAGCAAGCATCTAAAGTTCAAAATTTTGAAAATTCACAACAAATCAACCATATGTGCTACAGATTTGCAACTTTAACCAAAATGTAGCCCCAATACTGAAGAAACTTTTGTACATTTAAACCTATTGCAAATTATGAAGTCCATCACTCTGTTTTTTTCAGAAACTGTAAAACTTCTTAAATCTATCTCTTCCCACAATTTTTGCTCAATTGACACCAAACTTGCTACAGAGCATCTTCAGACTGTCCTACACAAACGATCCACACAGATTTTTGATTTATTGAAAATTGAGCCTACAGTGCATCAGAATGTTTGACTGTAAACGGTATTGTAAACATATACATGCAAATTCTTGCTAAATACATTTTCAATGTTCATTAAAAAAATGACAAAATTTTGGAGTCATGGTAGATGACGTTTGGAAAATATCAGAATTTTATCTCAAAAACTGATTTTTTTACAGCATTTTGAATTTCGCTGTCATGCGAACAATTGGAGTCAATGCAAAAACATCAGTTTTTCACTTATGGAGCCAATAAATCATTGTTAAAAACAAATTACCAACATCTCCATGCTGTCTAGATGTAATTTGTGTATTTTCGGATTTTTGTCTTAATAGGTGAATTTTTGACAGCCGTTTGAAATCTGCCTTTACACACTAACAGCTGCTGTCTTGCACACAGGTGACTGGCTTAGTCAATTTGTGAAGCTACATGTGACATTTCAACCATCAACCATATGTGTTACAGCTTTGGAACTTTAACTTTGAATTTGCTTTTCCATGGCATGGATGGCTACTGTCTGGCACCCTGATGCTTGGCTTAGTCAATTTGTGAAGCCACACATGAACTGTCACTTGCCAATTAGCTCAGTGAGATAGAAGTGTGGATGTGGATTAGAGACTACCAAGGTTAAAATAATTATGATCCAGGCAGTTTTGCAGAGAGACAAATGCTCTTTATCAACACTTTTCCCTGTTATCCCTTGTCTCTTTTCCCTGTTTATTTGGCTTAGCTATCAGTCAATATGCAGAGTCTATCCAATAGCTACTTTTACATTTTAAAAAATGTTTTCATCTTTGTCACCATGGATAATGTTTAGCTTTAAGCTAGATCAGGCCAGTTTGTTCATAATTGCTAGCAGTTTATGTTATTCTTACTTTCTTGTTCTTGAGTTTTTTCTTTCCTTTGTATATTATGAGTCTGATCATTTCAGCCATTCATCCACAATTTGAAGGGCGTGCCATAATTATATGATGTAACTTCTATGTTGTGATATGCTTTGTTTTAGTGTGCTTGTTGCTCAGAATTGCCTAATTTTGCCTAAAATTGCCCGGCCCCGACCATTGCTGCGCAGCAGCTATAATTTACTTTGTTACCCCTGCTATTCTCCACTCACTCTTCTTTTCACTCCCTTCCAAAAAAATATAAAAATATCAACAATTATTTTTCCAGGCGTTACTGTCAAGGGGCATCACCGAGCTGCTGCTGACCTCAGACAACAGGGAAGGACTAAAGCGTGGAGGAGTGAAAGGAGGTATTGTCAAATGGGCTGACAGACAAACAAGACCGTGCATAGACACACACACACACACACACACACACACACACACACACACACGCACAGTACGATGGTTGGTGTGTTGTATTTTCACACAATGACAAGAGGTTTGAGCCAAAGGGTGGCCTGGTGTCAGGCAGCTGCAGTTCAGACCTGCACACAAAGGATTCTGTGTTGCTGCAGATAGTTGTTCTTTTTGCATGTACACTGACACAGACACTGTGAAGCCCCAATAAAAAAATAATTTTCTTTGACAAATAACCAAAGTTAACGCACACACAAAAGCAAACATTGTTTTAATGCCATAATAAGGTTGTTGTTAATTGAAATGAGCATTTCTGTATTCATTATCACTGCAAACCATGCATTGTCATCATCATCATAATTACAAAGCAGGATCCTCCAGAGTATAATGAACCCTTCAGGGTACTTACATAAATACATATTTCTTAAACCTAATTTGCATGTTATAGGTGAACAGATGAAGTTTGATGCCTCGTTGGCTGATTCCTAATGCAGAAGCTTACATTATACCATTTTAATGCCTTTTAACTTTGTGATTTGAAGAAAAATGTTGCTTTATATTAAGTTCTAGGCGGGACGTGAAACTCTTAATGGTTCTCTAATGACAAGAGAAGAGGCATGTGAGGGTTTAAGCACAGCTCACAACAAACTGTATTCCATAAAGCTCTTTCTGTAGCATGTTTGGTATAGTTTGAACTGTTATTTTCTACATGTGTTAACATTGTTCTACCTTTTTGTGTCTGAAGCACTAGAAACCATCAATTTCCAGAAACTGAACCCAAATGACATCAAGTATCTGGATGCAATACAAGTGAGTCTAATTTGTCAGTCCTTGCTCTTTCCAATATATACACTGTCCATGTGAAACTTTTTGGTTACCTATCTACCTTAAAAGTAAAAGTTAGTGGCCTAAGTATATCTTTAATCTCGAAAAGATTTTCTTCAGTGTTTGCAAGTGCAGTCAGGTAGTTACTGAAAGAACCTGAAAGGTCATCTCGATGCATCTTTTGTTTAACTGACCATTTTCTCTTCCACTAGCCTCACAAGCCAAAGATGGTGATGGAGTACTGGTCTGGCTGGTTCGACATTTGGGGGGACCTTCATCATGTGTACACAGCTGACGGTAAGACTGACTCAATATAGGTAGGCAGGTTTTCTTTCGAGAGAGCTGTAGGATCCCTGATAAAACTAAGACAGGTGTTCAACTGAGAGTAAGACGGGATTTCTGCTGATGGATTCTTTGCTGAGGGTGAAACAGTTTCTCTCTGTACAGGAGGTCGATAATACTGGTTAATTTGAGACCGGGATAAGACAGGTTTTTTTGTTGCGAGCCAATTCAGAACCTCTGACAGTGGAACAGACTGTCGTGAGGGTAAGACAGAGTCTCAGTGCCTTAGGGTAAGAGGTTTAAGACAAACCCCTTTTGCTGAGAATAAAACAGTCTCTGTGCCAGGGGAAAGACAGGGTATGGACAAGCTCCCTGCTTTGGAGGTTGTGTAAGATAAATTCTTCAGACTGAGTGTAAGGACAGTATCTCTAACACTGTGGTTCCTTCACAAAAAGGCACAGAGCCCACTCAGTGCAGCTGGGATGTACAGCTTAGCATATGGCCATTTCTTCCTTGTTTTGGGGCTTTGTCAGAGATTTATATACTTTTCATGCATGGTAAGTTGTGAGCCCGGTATCACAAACCAGAGCCTGTGTCCCATCCTCTCGACTTTGTCTCTGGGCCATATATTTGATGTTCACAGGCCAGATTCTCAAACACTTCTTTGTCCAGGATTGTTCAAAGATGTGCTCTGATGATTCTCACTGCTGTACTGAACCGAGGTGGAGGTGTTACTCTTTGTAGGAGTTACATTCATCTCATACCTTCGCACTTTCTCTATATCCACATATGTTGTGGTTGCAAAGACACACGCAGATACACTCACTGTCTGCCTGTCTTCTACAATATCTAACCATCTGCACCTGAACATAAGACATGACACAATATGTGAGACTTCTTCTTCTTAAAACATTTGCAGAGCAGATTTTTGGAACAATTTGAAATCTACACTGTTTACATTCGTGATTACTTGTGATCAGTCGTCTTCTTCTTGTTGGTGCATTGCTTCATTTCTTGGCTCCTCATTGCACCAACTGTTGAGTAGTGGAATAGTGTGAAACCATTGGCAGGACTGTGAATCATGTCACCCACGGGCCGTGGTGGAAGAAGGATTCAGATCCTTTACTTGAGTAAGAGGAACAAAACAACAGTCTAGAAATCTTACTTATGATGCATATGTATTTTCAGCAAAGTGCACTTATGTGTCAAAGGTAGAAGCACTGAAGGCCAATTTTATAGTGATACATTTATTGAAATAGAAATATGAAACTTGATTTCACAGTTTATTTAAAACAAATAGATCTGCATTAAAAACAGGCTGGAATATTCTTTCCACATCCATCCATCCATCCATCCATCCATCTCATTTCATCTGCTTATCCAGGGGCCAGGTTGTCGGGGCAGCAGGCCAAGCAGAGCACCATAGACATCCCTCTCCCCTGCAATGCTTACAAGCTCTTCCTAGGGGACTCTTACCACATGTTTTGTGAAAATAAGGGGCAAGGACTCAATTATTGACAAAATCATGTACTTTAATGTACTGAAAAATCTTTCTGTGCTACACTGGCTTAAATTCCAGGAATGTCATGTATCAGATACTCTATGCACACGTGCCGCTGCTTCCTAATTAGGTGCACTTTTTTTTTTTTTACAGATGGTAAATATCCTTTTAGAGCCATGCAGGCAGAAATAACATTTTTTTTCTTTTGACTAAGAAAACCTGAATAAAAACTAAGACTACAAATATTCTCTTATTTCACCTACACTCTGTTCAGACAGATAAGTAGAATGAATGATGGCATTGCTATCAATGAAGTCTTATCAGTTCCATTCTCTATGTATAAAATATCTTCATTTTTTTACAAAAAATAATAAAAGTAAGTAAAAGTAAGTAAAAGTTGCTGGTAAATAAGTGTAGGGGAGTAAAAAATCCATCTAACTTTGTGGAGTAGAAGTATAAAACAGCATAGAATAGAAATACTCAAGTAAAGTACAAGTACCACAAAATTGCTCAGTACAGAAAGTGTACTTTATAGCTTTCTACCACTCCCCACATTTATGTGCATCCTTGTGCATGTGCTAGCATAACAGAGTGGTACTAGAGGTCAAAACCCTGACAGAGTACTTTTAACCTTAAAGCCACTACAAGGAACTTTTAACTGGATATGCAAAAGTCTCTCGTTTCTGCTGATGTCTGTGCGTGACCTACAACAGCAAATGAGACCATCGGTGTGAAGATAAGCTATTTCTATATAGTGTATATCCATACCTTTAGGAAACTGTGTCCGGGTCCACCGCAGGTCGCGTCCAGGACGAAGCGATTTACGGCACTCAGACGGCACACGTCATCTTACCTAGCTGCTTACATTTAGTGACTCTTATAAATAGTCGCTATTCCTCCTCCTCAACCCGACGTCCGCGGGGAGTTAAAATAGCAGCAATCATTGGGTAAAAGTTCTGTGAAAGCACTGGACTGGAACACCTCATCCGGGCCGACGACAGGTACCAGCCAGGCGTTGACAGGGTCCAGCGAGTGCTGAGAAATAAAGAGGCGAGGCACCGCTCCATACTCAGTTCAAGAAGCCGTGGAAGTGCTCGCCAAACAGGCCTTCAGCCTTACCACCCGACCGCTGCGTTTACCCCGGCGGCAGTGGCGCTTATACGCTGGAGAGGTGGAGCTGGGGGCAAGGTTTTCCCGTCTTGTTGTTTCATTCATCCCCAAAACAAACACATGCACGAGCCAGGTAAGCGTCTTTACGACAATACGCGCTAGAGCTCGTGGGAAATGTAGGCTTCATTCCGGCAAAACACTACCGCTTTTGTCCACGGGGTCGTCAAAATCAACTCAAAATGAAAGTTCCTTGTAGGGGCTTTAATTTAAAATATCTTACAAATATGTAGTTTAGCTTACTTTGTGGGGACATTTCAGTAAGGCAGAAGTAGTGCTTGTTTCTATATTCAGTTAAGCTGTTGATTTTTTTTTTTTTTATCAATCAGTTACCCTTTAAAATGTCTAAACAAAAGTGAAAATGTACTCGTAATCCCAGAGCCCAACGTGATCATCAGTCAGTAATCCATATTTAATTTGGAGTGATATAATACAGAGAAAAGCTTAATTAATAATGATCAGTTAATGGAATTTAATTCTCTTTATTGAATAATCAATTAATCCTCTAGTTGTTTGAGCTATGTGTCAAAAACACATATGCCATAAGATATTTAGGTCGGATCACCTTGTCCTGGCTGTTGTTATGGGCCTTAGAAGTATAAAGGGTGCCAGTACAATATTAATGTAAAAAAGCCAGCGACAGATTCATTCAGTATGTACTCTCCAATATCTCCCACACACCAGATAACATGGTCCACATGCTGCTTTCAGGGCGGTTATATTTTTAGTATAATGCACAGTCCTGGCATACATTATAGCACCTGTTTCACAATTGTAAAGATTAATGGAAGCTACACACTCTGCTATCACCGACTTGAGTGCTCTCAGAAACATCTTATTTCAAACACACAGTGCAGAGCCTCAAGCTTCCTTTTTACTCTCTGTCGTTCCCAGCAGCCATCCACATCTTAACAAAAAATGTCCTGAAAATGAAAGGCTTCCTTATATATTTTCTCCTCAGTGAGAAAAAGGAAAAGAAAAAGACCCTCACCACGCAGAAAGTGTCACAGCTATGAAATGAACATTGGGATATTCAGAGGGGATTCGTGTCCTTGACAGTTCAGTGCTCTGCACACTGCAACACACCCAGCAGTTGGCCGCAGCTAGTGCCACCGCCATGAAACCAACTGAGTCGGCTCTGTTACTCACCCCGCTCAATTGTTATTCATCAAGGCTCATGCCCTTGATTCAAATCATTAAAGTCAGTCCAATTTGACTACTAAAGTCCAATTTGAATACTTAATTACTTTCTCTGCTATGTTCCCTGCAAAAATGTAGGTAGCTAATTTGTGCAGGGAGGTAGGCAATTTTTTATGGGTGTGAGCATTGCCCTGTAATGAATTATTCTAACCTGTAATAAGATGTGTGGCTGAGGTCCGTCTGTGTTTCAATTGAAGTGGAATTGAGGGCAATAGGATTATTGAAATGGTGGCTTGTTAAAGCTGATGTCAAATTGATTTTTTTTTTTTTTTTTTTTTTTCATTTTTAACTAATGGGTCTACAGGCCCAGAAACACCACACTGACCAGAGAACTAGTGGCGACTGAGGCCCCCTGATGCGTCACCTGACGTTGCCGTATCTTGGCCAAAAAATTTCACATGAACACACCGCAAAGACTTTAGCCAACAGCTAACTAGCACGTATGATCTGGGCCTGCGTGAGAGGAAATAACTCTTCACAACAGCAGATGGCGTTCGTCTGAAATCGTCTTTCAAAAAGGGAGACCGTCTTGACACTAGTTAGCCAGTTAGCACATTAGCAAAACAGTCCAATGCTGAAAGAACAGAGCATCTTTACTGTGAGCCAGTGAACAGTAAAACAAACCATCACCAAATGTTTCTGCTAAAGAGCTCGGTCTCTAAAGAAAAATAATCTTACCGTATGTAACAAGTTTATTTTGATCTCACACCCTCTTGACTTTAGTTTTTTGTTTACTTTCCTCACTTCTGTTTTTCTTCTCATGCGCTGAGCTAAACTGCCAATCAGAGTGATTTCATGCACTGATGGGCTTCGCCATCGCCAATGGCGGTGTTGACACTGATTCAACATGCTGAATCTGCCACTAAAAAGCCAACAGGGACCGTAAGGGGTAACCGTGCAATGTGTGCTGCACTGTTAGGGCGACAGACGCTGACAGATAGCCCAACATTGGCATCAAGGTGATCGTGAGGATTGCAGATTGCAACCAACTGAAACTTCTCCAGGTTAGAATTCCTTCAGTATTCATTGTTTAAGAGGTTTTTACCAGGAGGTCTCCTCCTCTCCGAAACAAATAAATCAGGTGATTAAAACCAGTAAAAACACTGAATAAAGCAATGTTATGTTACAAATCAGAGTTTCTCCTACGCTTTTTGGCACCTCACAGACAGGCAGCTCACCCAGCACCTGTTAATGTGTGCTTAGTTATTTTCTCTGGTAACTTAATGTGTGCTCACCCTATTTCTGATCTAGGTGTTACGGAGGTTTTTACTGGGAGTTGAATTATCCTCAGGGGTCTGTTCTTCTCCAAACAAATGAGCCTGGTAATTAAAACCGGTAAAAACACTGAATTAAGCAGTTTCACCCTAAAAAAAAATCTGTGTTTTTCTGATGGTCTCATCGTGAACCAAAATATGCTTCTTTAATTAGGTGATCATGCGCCAAAGAAAACAAATTTATTATATTCCATTTTTGCCAATATATTCCCCTAAATCATACACACTCGACCTTTAATGTTTATGGGCATTTATTATTCTCTGATTTATTTACTGTAATTAAGAGTGTAATTAAGATACATTATAGACTTTTTTTTTCTTTGACAGACATGATACATGTGGTCAGAGAGATCCTTAAACAGGACATGTCCATCAACCTCTACATGTTCCACGGAGGGACAAATTTTGGCTTCATGAGCGGAGCGTTTGCAGTTGGAATGCCGGCACCGAGACCTATGGTGACAAGCTACGGTATGTGTAATGAACCTGTTTCTGACCAGAATTATGTGACATTTAAATGATCAAAATTCCCCTTGAGTTGGGAAAAATATCATAAAGGGTTAATTAGTCAGGGTTGAACTAGTATCCACAAAGTTTGTAAAATATATTTGATTCAGGAGTGCACATAATCATCAAACATAACCTTCTTAAAATACAGCCAGTAAGTATCTGCTTGAAAAACGTGAACAGGAGGGAGATTAAAACATGATTAGGGTATTAAAAATATCTGTAGATGGCGCTGTCCCTACTCCTGAGCCTCTGACCTTCAACTGTTTGAAAATTTGAATATGCAGTACGCATTAATGAATTCATTACCTAATAAAATGCACGGGAAATGTAAATGAAAGATGGTACAATGGGTTTTATATCCTCCTCTAGGGTACTTAACATTGTAATGACCCCGTTCTTGAGAAAAAGAGGAGAATTCTGAAAAACCTTTCCACAGCAGGGAGGACCACCTCTGACCTTGAGCCGTCGTTATACCTGTGTTTACTCCTCTGAATACCTTTTACCTTTTTTTTTGCCTCAAGAAAAGACTCAGTTTTCTGTCAAGATAACCCAAAATGTGTCTCGGCCCGCTGCTGTCTCAAGATGTTTGATAGGGGAGCACAGTGAAAGCATCTGCCACGGTAAGAGGCATCCCTGCCTCTCTCCGGCTCCCGAGCCTGCTGTTCTGATAGCGCATTATCTTTCAGATTACGATGCTCCATTATCCGAGGCTGGGGATTACACCACCAAGTACCATCTTCTGAGGAATTTATTCAGCCACTACCACAGTGAGTGTCGTGTGTTGTTGCTGAGTCGGGCCCCACATCTTCTGTCTCTCTTTCTCTCCCGTTCCTTTCATCTCCCCACTTAAGTTAATTCTCCTTGTAGAACCTGCTCTCTGTTGGCTAAAGTAGGATAACTTTGCATATGATTACAAGCATGGATTAGATATGGTTTTGTGTGTGTGTTTGTGGATGTGTTTGAGATCTCTGCCCAAGTCAGAGACCCCCAATTACTGCCCGTTGTGAAAATTACATACCAGGCTTTGTATCATGTTTATTGCTTATGCAGCTTTCTCTATTTGTAAAACAAGCGTCTGTGGTTGGGGGCAGAAGTCTCAAGTGTTTTGTGGCCAGGACTGAAAATGTAGCTTTTGGCAATCTGGGACCAAATCCAGCACAACAAGTTAAGTAATAATTTGCCCAGAGTTGTGGTGATTGAAGATAGTTTGAAAGGCTGCCTGTGCGTGATTCATCCTTATGTTCTGTAGTCTGCTGAACAATGAGCAGTGGCCTAGATATGGGAGTGAGTCTGAGAAGGCTTTTTGTTCTGCTCTGCAACTACAAACACATGACTTTGTTCTTTAATTAGCTCCTTTTGATATTTTATTATTGTTTAGACGTCATCGTGTCAGTCACTCTTTGCCCTGTGGTTTTGTTTTTTGCACAGCCTCGTATGGATTCAGGCTCATCTGTCAAAAGTCTAATTTGATCTTTGACAGCAACATTGCTCTTAAGATACACCTGTGACATACATGCTTTGTGGTTTGTCTTATAATTACCAAGCTGTCAAAAATTGCAAAAATACAGTGTATAATCTAGAAAAAGATAGACTACTGCCTGTGCGCATGCATTAGTCAGTTCACTCTTAATGGCTCCAGTTTATTTAAAGTTTTCATGCTCCTGAGGAGAAAGTCAAATGTCAAATTTAAACATATTTGAACCCTACCAGTTTCTCCCCCCAGCAACACATCGCCACAGCCTCCTCTGCACAACATTACATGAATAATTTGGGATAATACAGGCTTTGTTGTGGAAAAAATTCCAATCTGTCACAAAAAAATTTCAACGTGCACTCTTCCACTCTTAGTTTTGACACACTATATACACTAACAAAGGCACTGGCTTTGTAAGCGCTGTAGAGAGCCATTTAGAAGGAAGTGTTGGCCGTTATCCTTGAAGCCTTCCTTAAGTGATCCAGCTGTTACCACTTGGTGATAAGGAAACGCTGTCAAGCCTTTTCCAGAGGGAGTGCTGGTGGCTCTGCATGCTTTAACACCTTTAAAAGCAGTGAGAGGGCATGGGCGACCACTGTTAATTGTTGTAAAGAGACTGTTTTGCAACAGGGAGCACAAACTGGATGCCGCCGGGGAGGGAAAATGGCTCACCCAAGGAGCATTTAAAGCTGTTTCCAAGGGACAGGTCACTTTTATGATTGGTATTGAGTGATTCTTAGGCTTCAGAGTATGAAGACTGAAGGAAGCCTACAGGTCTTAAGTGGCCCAGAAAAAGGTCCAGTCCCTATTTTTTGTTTGTTTTAGTGAATTGTTTTGCTGCTGGTTAATCTTCACAGCCTTGGCATCAGCTTTACGCAGATCATTGTCTTAGTTTGCTTATAGGCTTAACATGGTTTACAATGTAAATTTACAAAGCAGCCCTCCTCTGTCTTCCTGTCTTCCTTTTCCTTTCTCATAGATATGATATGTAGATGTACAAGTTTTTACTTCAGCAAGAGATTTCTTTAAAGATCAGGGAAATCCATCTTTAACTCCCTTCTCTGACCAAATTTACATATGTTAAGGAATGTACAGTATCTATGTATACATGTGGGCAGTCTATACATTATTTACAAATTCCCTTAGAAGGTTAGCTTGGACTTGTTTGCATCCTCTGAGGTAAATAAAGAGTAAAGGAAATGAAAATAAATTCATATACAGACAGACAGACAGACAGACAGACCACATCCTCATTTTTCCTCCTTGTTTTCCAGCGCAGCCTCTCCCTGAACTGCCCTCTCATCAGGAGAGGAGAGCGTACCAGCCTGTTGTCATCCAGCAGCACCTGTCTCTGTGGGACAGCCTGCATTTCACTGACAAGGTAAGCTACAGAAGCGCAGTGAGTGCCAAAATTGGAGGCACGGAAATAATAAACATCATCCGTGTAGCGCTGCTCAAAACAGAGTCTGAAGGTTGTTGACAGACAACCGCAATATATTAAATATTTCATGCATTAGTGAGAAACAAAAGCCAATCAAATAAACTCAAAGAGAACTTGCTGTTAATTATGTGGGTGTGCAGCCTGTTGTGGTCCGTGTGCTCTTCTTGAAAAATGTATTCCCACTGCTCAGAGAGCCGTGCATAGCGCATGAGATTCTCAAGAGTGATTCCCTAAGACTGTACTTGCCTGAGGACAGGTAGATATGCAGTACCAACACTTACAGTAGCTCCCATTACATCTGCAAGAGTTTCTGCTTGCCTTGATTATGACATATTGCATTTGCCAACTACCTGTTACCAGTAGTTATTATAATTTGGTAGCTTTGCTAGCCATATTTTACAGTCAGTAGACAATAATAACAACACAGATAATCACAGTAATCTCCTGCAGTCTTGTACCTGTTGGCATTGTTCTTCAGCTTTATCTGTCGCCCTTTTTTACACAGAGCTCATGCAATACTGCCACAATGAAGACCTGTCATCACGCTAGCTTTGCTTTGTTACACAGAACCAAACAACGCCGGCATAATGCCACCCCCGTGTGTGATTTCAGATAGCATCAGGCGCTCTGGAAGCAAAAGAGGCATGTCAGGCATGATGTGTAACACGACAATGTCAACCTGTAGTGTGACATACAACGCATGTGTCGGGCAGCGCTTTACAAACAATAACAATTTCATAACATGGCAATAACAATCATGTACCATCCCTGTTATGTGGCGGCTGATCTCGTTCTCTGCTCAAAGGGTAAGGAGTTGCTGCAACTCATTGTCTGTCCAATTCTTTGAATCAGCTGTTTACTGCTGCCAGCGGTTGGTTGCATAAATTACACTTTGTAAAACACGGCACACCTGTCTTGTGCTGCCGGCTCACACTTTTTACACAGAAGTTGATTTGGCTCTTTTACTACCTCCGTTGTTGGTGTAAAGGTCGAGCAACTCTGTCCCCCCATTCCGTGTTAGTACCTTTCATACAGGAAGGCGAGGTGGAATAACAGACCTCGAACAGGCCTTTTGTGTCCATAACCTCAAGCAAATCTCTATTTTAGCACCATATCTCTATGAAGTTGTGCTGGTTTTGAACTGTATGCTCTGATAAAACATTACCATATGTGAGGTAACCTACGACGCCCTCTGCACATCTTCCAGGGTGACATTTGGTCTATACAATTTATGACAAATCATAAGATATACAGTAGAATATGTTCCTCTAATACATAAACCAAACCTCCTACAGACGTATTTTATTTCTTGATTATAAAGAAAATACAAGAATCTAATTTGAAGCAGTGAAAATCACAAATTAGGGCACAGATATGGCTGTGGTAATCTGAAAGTGAGTGAAGTGAGCTTGCAGCCATGCTCCACCACCAGCTTAAGCTCATACACCTGTCAAGAGTGGTCTGCGAAGGGAAGTAAATGAGTAACACTCCTCCCTTAATGAACTACTGCTGATGAGGTTCCTCTGAGCAAGACAGTCTCTCCTAACTGCACTAGTGGCCTGCTCAGGGACTGGCAGTAACCCTCTGTGTGCAGCTTTATGACTGTAAAGCAGGTTGTTGTTGTGGAAATAAAACATGAACACAACCGAAAACCTCTCCTTGCCAAGAGATGGGTTTCAAAACTGGTTTGGAGGGTGTCATCATGTCTGTTTGCTTTTATGTCCAGCAGTGTAGTTTAGCCATTTACACCATGCTCTTCAGGGGCATTTATATTCAAACCAGATGTAGCATGTCTGGCGGTCGCTTACAACATTAATTATTCACTCCCCGTCGCAATAATTTGCTTCCCTCTGAGACGACAATTACTTTGCCCCTGACCAGCCACACGGCCTCATTTCAAAAAGAGCGTTTGCTCTTCAGAGACTTCAGAGAGACTGAGTGGGATGTCTGAGTTTGATATTGTATCTGTGTGTTTGGAGGTACGTGGTTAATCGTGTCACAGCAGCAAGTGTTTATTGTCTCGTGAAGAGTGCATAATGCACCTCCCAAGGGTATGCAAAAAGAATGCTGCTGAATAAAAGAAGTGCTCTGAACGCCAGACAGGAAAGCTTCATTAGGTTTGATAAATCATCACTTTGGGTGAAGCCATCTTGCGAGTGGGAGATTGTGCATTGCGAATCATAGAAACCCATTTGCATTGAGAGTGGTTTTGAGATTGTGTGTTCACTTTAAATACAGCAAGCTTCATGTCGCCATTTCAGATAAGGGTCTTTAAATATATGAATTCCTGCATCACATTTTAACACCTGATTTCAAAGGTACATTATATGAACACCAAACCTTGTGTGTATCTCCATTGCATATTTGTTTAGCCACTGAAGTCAGAGAGGCCGGTGAACATGGAGAACCTCCACGTCAACAATAACAACGGCCAGTCTTACGGCTACACGCTGTACGAGACCGCCATCACCAGCCAAGGAACCCTCAACTCGAAGAACAACGTCAGAGACAGAGCACTGGTAAAGACAGGAAGACAGACGCGCACACAAAGCACCCGCAATCACACATTTACACTTTCCTTTGTGAGAATGTTTGCATGTAGAAAACTGTGATCTGTTAGAAATCACACCCCTGATCAGTGTACTTGTGGAGTACAATTAACAAGCTCAGGCTGCAAACAGTTGCTCTAGTGTTAATGTCAGACAGTCAGAAGAGCCTGGAGTTCTCAAAAGTTGGTTTCCAAAAACTTCAGTGAAACACTGAATGAAATGTGAAGTGAAATACATGAATGCTTCATGCCGAGGGCAGGTGGTATCTTTATTTCATGATGGATTACTCCACACATATACTGCATCATTCTACATCATTCTGACGCAGTGTGTGTTGTGCTAGGGACAAGTTTGGTGCCCCGGCTGAGCCCTTGTGACCCTTTTATCTTGACGTATGGCCACATCAGCAACACAGAAAGTTAGAGCGGTTTCTCACGTGGGGTATTTTCATTTTTCAAAATATTTGCTTTCCATTTCATGTTTCCTTCCTAGGTTTTTGTGGACAAACATTTTGTGGGTGTTCTGGATTATAAGACGCAAGAACTTCCACTCCCTGATGGGAAGGTACCTTGTGTGTGTGTGTGTGTGTGTGTGTGTGTGTGTGTGTGTGTGTGTGTGTGTGTGTCCTTCCCCTTCCTTATGTAGTTAAGACCTCGTCTGCTGTTAGCTACTTTCAAAAGCATATAGTTGTTAATATTTAACAACGTGTGAAAGCTTTGGGGAATGCTGATAGATGTTTTTTGGCAGCAAGGTCCCGGTATTAAGCCAACAGCAAACCTTCAAACGACTGTTTATCTTAACAAATTTGAAAAGTCAACTTCAACCTTGCAGAAAAGTGCAGACTCACATCGGCCTTGATCAATTACCAAAGCCAGACCAGCTGAAAGCAATTTTTGCCTCCTTTGTTACTTTGTAAATTCTTTCCACTGAGGAATACTGCTGTATTTCACTAATGCCTCTTGTGTTTTCTGTATTTTTTAACTGAAGGGAAAAAGAACTCTAAGTTTGTTGGTGGAGAACTGTGGAAGAGTGAATTATGGGAAAACGCTGGACCAGCAGCACAAAGGTACACGTTGTTCTGTTAACTGACGGTTCTGTAGATGATCTCTCCGCATGACCTTTTTTATTATATACCTTGAAGGAAAGTGATTAACAGTGTTTTAAGATTCATTAGAAAAAAAAATCACAGCAGTGTTGACTCACCTTCAGGTCTTGTTGGAGATATCGAGCTTAACAAGCGCCCCCTCCGCGACTTCATTATGCGCAGTCTGGATATGAAGCCAGGCTTTGTAAACAGGTTTGTGTCTTTCAATTATTACCCAGTTTCCCTCCGTGTTTGTGTTTCTCTGTCAGTACGCTTGCCTGCTCCTGATTCAATCCAGCTGATTATCTCCTTGCTTAACACAATTAGAATGGGAACATGATGGTAAAATGCAGAAATCAAAACACAGCCTTCCAATTTGGCGTCTCATGTTAAACATGTTAATTTATAAGCATTACAGCAGGTAGATTACTCAGCTGGAGTCAGTTAAGATCTTTGTTGTTATCCGTGTTCAAGAGGCTCAACATGATGAGGAAGTCTTTACTTTTTTGTTGCTAAAATTAAAGTGGGAACATCAATTTGGTGTTTACTTTTTTCACATTAAAGGGTGATAACACATGGTGTTCATAACACACAGTACGAGCAGAACAGATTGTTTTGGTGTGAGTTGCCGCGTGTTGGAGATATCGTATATAATGGAACTAGATGGCACTTGGCTTGTGGTATTAAAGCGCCAGAAAAAATACCCAACAGCATTGTCTCCTTCCAGAAGTCTTGATCTGGCTACTCAAGATAATCCGCAGACCTTTTTGTAAGTGTCACCTGCACTGAACTATGCCCAACAACTGAAGGAAGTGTGCATCTACTGCTAGCTCACCTGGCACCGTGTGAGCTAGCTAACGTTAGAGCTCAGACAAGGAAGAGGTTATTAAAGGGGAACTAATGTTTTTTCAACCTGGGCACTATTTTCCGATCTACTTTTGTCTAAATGAGTGATAGGATGTTCAATATTTGTCATTTCTCCAGTATGAAGCTCGGGCTGACCTGCCTGCAGCCCATGAGCACGTGCTATATTAAATAATAGGGCACTCAGACAGCGTCAAAATACGTCCACTAAAAGTGCATTTTTTTCACACAGATAGGCTCGGATTTTTAGTATAATTATCCGACAACATAACGGAAAGGAGAAATGAACGTCTGTGTTTACCTTTAGCTGGATTCGGACATGTTCCTCTGCCTGTTGCTGCTCCCTCTCTCTCCTCGTCCGCTCTTCAATTTCAATGAGCTCTGCATCCGTGTACGTCCGTCTACTCCGTGTCATCAAATTCAAATGGCTCATCCAGATCCAGTTGGTCAAAATCGGGTAAAAATACAGCCATGACTACTCCAAACAGAGTAACTGTGACAGAGTAATAGGGCCCAGGTTGAATAAAATATTAGTTCCCCTTTAATGTTTACATCTTGTGCAGTCATGAGCATGAGCATCAATAGGAGATGCACACTTCCTTCTGCGTAGTGATAAGGATTTACATTTGGATAGGTTTGCTGGGTGCCAAAGGCTGTTTTAGATGCAAAATGTCATTTGCAAATATGCAAACATGGGGGGGAGACCTTTAATGTGCCACCCATCCCATAATCAGTCATTAGATCTGGTAATTTATCTACAACAGCCAAGCATTATAAGGTCATTTTAGCAAGACCCAGAGCAAATGCATTCCCCTCGTTATGTTTCCATATTACAATATTATAGTGCCTTTCTATGCTGCTAATCATGTGTCCTTAACCCTTTCTAATCATAAAATCTATGCTGATATTCAAAATTGATGACCCAACTCATACAGAGGGCCGCACAGGTAATAAACAAAAAGGCCTGAAGATTAGCTGACCTTCTAGTTTCTTATATTTGTTCTCAGTAGACTATCTGCATGTATTTTAAGCTAATTTTGTGTTTCTCCTTTTGTATTGAAAAATTGAGTTTCTTCACATCAGCACCGTCTTGAAAATGTCAAGGCCTGAAGCTTTGTATGAGTGAACACTAAAAAAAAAAACATAACCAAGGAAGGAAATTTTTCTTCTATCATCGCGACCTTTTGAATTTACTTGAAGGCAAATTATAACCTGTAGCCAAAAGAAAAAGTGATACTGAATATTTCCCCCATAATTCATGTCCAAAGTGAATGACATGATACACTGTGTACTGAGCCCGAGCACCTAAAAGTCAAGTTTTGGAGGAAAAACAGCAGCAGACTGCATCTAAACAAAACCTTTCAGAATCTAGGTTTGTGCTTTCACACCATGACACACAAAGTGTTGTGGAGAGTGTTATCTGTTATCTCAGCAAAATGAAAAGTGAAGTGTATTCTCCTTTTTACAGACTTGAGAGTTCAGGCCACTGGATGTCGATGCGTCAGCGGCAGACCTTCCCAGGGTTTTTCCAGGGGAAACTCTATGTGAACAGTTCTCCCAAAGACACCTTCATCAAGCTCCCTGTGAGTAGGACAGCCACAGGACTAACAATCCAGCATAACAAAACTGATACTTGGTGTATTTAATATCTCTTAAGGCCCCGATACACCAAGCTGATGGTCGTCTGTAGCCCTTTTTGGTGTGGTGTGTCCCGCACTGTTGCTCCTCATTGGCCCCCATTGGCTTTTTTTTGGCTGATTCAACATGTTGAATAGGCGCTGGCGACAGCAGAGCCTGTTGGTGCATCAAATCACTGTGATTGGCACTTCAGCTCAGCGCACAAGAGAGAAACGGAAATGAGAAAAGTCAATAAAGGGCTAAAGTCAAGAGGAGATGAGCACTATTTAACATTATTTTTCTTTGGCCATAGAGCTCTTTTGTAGAAACGTTGTATGACGGTTTGTGTTATTGTTCACTGGCGCACTGTAAAAATGCTCTGTTCTGTCACCATTAAATTGCGTTGTTCACGTGCGAACTGACTAGCTAGCATCAAGATGGTCTTCGAGTCTGCTGGCATGGAGAGTTATTTCCTCTGATGCAGGCACAGAACGTACGTGCTGATTGGCCATTGGTTGTTGTCTTTGCGATGTGTTCATGTGCAAATTTTAGGCCAAGACAAGGCGACATAAGATGACACAGCAGGGGGCCTTCATCGCTGCTCGTTCTCTGAAGTCGATTTGGTGTGTCTGGGCCTTTCGACAAACGCTAAACCAAAAATGGAGTATACTTATTGTTATTTTGTCTAACCTCTCATAGATTCACAACAAAAACGAAAGTTACAGAAGATCAAGTGAAGACATATATTAAATCAGATATGAATGTCAAGTTTTACTTCCCCTAGATTTAACAGAAAGCAAGCTGTCTACACTTTTATAGACAATTTACATACCTCCAAGCACTGTGTTGTATGTTGTTTTGGTAAATTATTAATACCTGAGCTTTGGCCAGACTATTTTGGTAGCGCATGACTTATATTTATTCACACAGTAAGCTTTCTTCATCAAGACAATAGAGAATCTCTTCCTACTTACCCACTTAAGAGGGATTAATCTTTTACAGTATACTTTGGTTTGATTAATATTTTTGATTGAATCAGTCTTAACCTCATCCCAAATACTTTTTTTGTCCCCAGAGAAATGTCTCTGTAAGAATCTTTATTGAGTGCCGGCTCACTTATAATTAATTGGACGTAGTTTCACAATAATATTATTTCATTAGTGAGAAGAGAGAACATCTTAAAAGGCCTCTTACAGAAAAAGGTTCTGTTGATGATTATCCAATTTTTATGCAATTCCATGTAATGCTGTTACTGATTGAATAAGTGCCTCTTTACCGTCCTGTTAGACTGTATATCTCTCTGGGGTTTTTTTTTTTTTTTAGCTTGTAACTTTCTCACAGTTTTCCATTGCTGAAGCCCAAATTGAAATGGCTGGATGCAGAAGAGCTAAGAGGCACAATTAACAACAACTCAGGATGTATTAAGCAAAAGATGCAAATCATATTAGAAAGGAAGGCTTGCAGTGTGTTGTTGGTGTCCTTAACATCTGTCTTGTTTTTACCCATAAGCATTTAATTGGCTAAGCCTGCTTATTGTGGTTGTGTTCACAGGGCTGGAGCAAAGGTGTAGTGTTTATTAACGGCAAGAATCTGGGACGCTACTGGTCCATTGGTCCCCAGCAAACTCTCTATGTCCCCGGGCCCTGGCTTCACAGGGGGGATAACCAGGTAAAGAACCTCTGTTATATTTCTATGTGCTTACAATTCAGGAGACGCTTTTGCCATCACTGAGTCCCACAGCCCAAGGATGATATCTTCAAATGTCTTGTTTTGTCTGATAAATAATCCAAAATCCAAAATATTCAAACGATCACAATGGGAAGCTTGGATAAGTAAATGTTTGGCTTTTTTTGCCATCCATTATCATTAATGTACAAATATTCACAGGTTTTAGGCGCACTCTAGAAACAATATGATGCACACACATGGCAGATGTACATGTTTTCTGAGTGCTATCCAGTTCCTCTGGTCACATGCCCCTCACCTCCGCAAATGTGCCGAACTAAAAGCACATCACGGGTCAACAGTTACAGGATACAGTTACTGATTTTCATCACCCTGTAGCTTTGATGTTGTTGAACTCTGGAGCGCTTTCTGGAAAAATGTCTTAGCTGCATCTACTGCATATACTGTGTTTCTCCTACTCGCCCTAACTTCTCATTTCTGTGCATATATTGACGTTAGTGTCCAACCACCCACTCTCACTGTCCTTTCATGACCTCAGTTAAGCTGGTATTTTTTGCCTCATTACAGGTCATAGTTTTTGAAGAGCAAGAAACAGATGGCAAGATTCAGTTCGCCAGCAGCCCGGACTATGGTATGAGTGTTGATGTCCAGTGAGGACAGGAGGTGAGAGGAGAGTTTGGAGGAGAAGAGGATGATGAGGGAGTAATTGGGGAAGACATGACTGAGATCGTTGTTGTGAGCTTCGCACATCCGGGACCAGCAGCACTCAAAGCTAACATGTCAGTGAAGGGGACTCCCTGAAAACTTGGCATTTCACTCATGTCCTTGGTCACACAGTGTTGTGTGCCTGATGCGCGTTTTTGTCGGTCCACATTGCGTTATTTGGTCACTTTTTGAATAACTCATAGGTACGTGGGGTAAAGTAATAATTACCAGAGATTTTAGTCCTGTCCGAATGTGCCATGTCTGTAATCTTTACCGTACGATGTCAGTAAAGATAACCGTGACTTTTACCTTCTGTAAAGGGTCCCGGAAAATTACCTCAGGTAATACTAATCCCGTGCGAATAGACCAGCAGTAAATATGTGTGTAGATATTTCGTCATATCCTGTTCACAAGTGTTTTTTTGCGGATTTTCAAGCATGGAGGCTCTTGAAGAAGCACTCAGTTTTGCACTTCACAGTCGGACAAGTCCGTGTGAAACCTCAGGTACTGTGGGCCTACGACGAACATGATTCAAAACCAAAAGAAGGTCGCAAGCACTTGTCCGAGGCACGGGACTTGTGATTGCTTTAGGTAAGTTAAGTATGCAATGTAGCAGGGCTATGTGGCTAATAAAAAATGACAATAAAATCAACCAGTAGGCTAATCAGTTCATAATAATTCGATGTTGTAGGCTATATTATTTTTTCACGCACAGGAAGCAACGTCATACGCACATGACAACAGGAGGGGGCGGCGGTGCGTGAATGGATTTACACCTCCCACTTGTGGTAGTTTTACTGATATTTCTTATCCTGTGCAAATTGGCCATTAATATTACCAACGTCCTGAGGTAAAGTGACATTACCCCACGTGCCCATGTAAAACTAATCCTGTCCGAATAGTGCTTTTGTCTTATACCGAACATTAAACCCTCAGGAGACCTCATGCTTATCTGCAACTGCAAACAGAGATGGTTATTTATGTTTTTGTGGTCATTTTTTGATAAAGACACACTTAGATTTCTGCTTATTTTACTCTTATGCTGGCACGGCTGCAACTGCAACTAGACTTCCCTGAATGACTTTTACCTGACTGCTGATAAATGCTCAAATTGACCATCATAACATTATACTGGAAAATACATACAACTAAATAGTGCGTAAATACATTGTAATTTAGATGGACTAAATTATGTTGAACAAGAAAAATTTACTCAGATGGGGAGTCTGTATTCTGATATCTTGTGTCAGTGTACCCCAAACTGGCTTACAAGGCTACCTATTAATTTCCATGTTATTTAAAAAGGTGTGAGACCACATATACAATTATAGGAAAACATGAACGGTATGTTCTGTATGCCTTCTTACTCATAGTGTGTATTATTCAGTCTAGTGTGCCTTATTTTCCACGCTCTTGAGATAAAACTTGTCCATACTTTGCCACTCCGTCCAACCAAAATTATTTAGGGTTTTTGTTCATCGTTTTTACAAAGGTGCAGGTAGGTTATCATATAAAGTATAAATATCCACACAGAGCTTGTCGAAGCATGCACTGCTGCGTCCTATAAAACCACACTCATCTGGGTGAAATACCAACCTGTTAGGGAGTCTCAGCCCATCAGTGAATATGACATTTTGTGGCCTGTCAGAAGACAACAACACAGCATTTTTTTTTATTTAATGACTGTATTTTTCACATTCTGTTAAATCCTTGTTGTTCAAATTAGTGACATTAACATTACCCTGTACTCATATGCTTCATTCCTGGAGACCATAGTGCTGTGGTTGATTTTAATACATTGTTATAAAATGTCTCCCTCTATCCGACTTAATTTATAAATTACAGGCTGTGTGAAAAGAGCTGTGAATAAAGGCGGGTTTGACCTCTGTGTCAGTAGCCAAGGCCAAGGAAGCTTGTGAACTGTTTTATTTATCCTGCACACTGGGAGCCTGTTTGATGCAGGCCAACACTGGTTTCAAATGTACCTTCTTATGATATGCTGTGAGCCCCTGCAGAGAAGTCAAGAGCACAAGCTGTGCTTGAAGAGTTTTTTTTTTTAAAAATCATCTGTTGTTTGTTATGCTAACCATCCTGGATACTGTCATGGTTATTTTCTTTAAAGAGCGATGCCACAGTGAAGCCGTGCTGTCACGTTTAGTGCATTTTAATTAAGTGGTATTGTACAAGCCAGTATGAATAGGTAATGTAAAAGCTGATCGTTAGGTTTCCTGTGGTGCTGAATCCTGATCCCATTTGCACCAGCTATTCATATAAAGCTTAGCCTGTTTACGAAAGTATAAGATCTCAGTAGAGATTTATGTATTACTTAAAACGTTTTTCACCACAGAATAGTGCATACAGTAGAAATGAGCTGTGAATACATTTTGCTATGTAGCTGAGCAACCAAATATTACAAAGCCTACAGTAACCAATAATGGTAGCTTAGCATATGTCCTGTTTAAAGCACAAAAGAAGCAATGGTATGTAATCGACATGTCTGACTTGACACCTGATGAAACGCTGTCTAATAATGGTGTAAGATTTAAATATTACAAAACATAACACCAATAATGTTAGACTAAATAATGCTGGGTTATATTAGCATAATTGAATGTTTCTTACTTATTGTAGACTGCATAAATACTATCAATTCTGAAATGTCTGTGTATGCATATATAATCTAGAAATGCTGCCTCGTGGTTGTATGTCTCTGTGAAACAGTCAAGTTCCACTACAGTTTACATCCATGTCTGTGAAAACACGGATGCATCTCACACAGCATTCCTCCACCAGCACAGAAGACCCAGGATTAATGTCACCAAGTCAGTATCCAACCAAATGTCTCTCCTTCTGTTCCTGAGATACAGTGTTAAATAATGTCCAGAAAAGCGTTTCTACAGATCATTGTAATTTCACAGTGAAGCTGACCTTTGACCTTTTGAATATGAAATGTCATCACTTCATCATTTTATCCTATCAGACATTTGTGTGAAATTCTGTCGTAATTAGCATAGGAATTCTTGAGTAACAGCCAAAGAATGTTTTATGAGGTCACAGTGAGCTTGACCTTTGACCACCTAATTCTCATCAGTTCATCGTTGAGTCCAAGTGGACATTTGTGCCAAATTGAAAAAAAAAAAACCCTTAGGGTGTTCATGAGATATCGCATTATTAGATAGGCAAGGTCACTTAAGTGCTGACCTATGCGCGCCAAAATCTAATCAGTTCATCGTTGAGTCCAAGTGGACGTTTGTGCCAAATTTGAAGAAATTCCTTTAGAGTATTCTTGAGACATTGTTTTAACGAGACAGTATTCACAGCTAGCTTATGACTGATTTACATATTACTAAAGTCTTTACTGGCTAAGATGATCCTTTTGTGTTAATTGTGCAACCTTGGGGGCATTGGTAGTATAGTGGATAGTGCCGGCGCCCCATGTACAGAGGCATTGCCTCGCTGCAGCGGTCGTGGGTTCAAATCTGGCCTGCGACCCTTTGCTGCATGTCGGTCCCCTCTCTCTGTCTCCGCATTTCACACACTGTCCTGTCCGTTAAAGGCAAAAAGCCCACAAAAATAATCTTTAAAAAATAAAATTTGTGCAACCTAAAATAGCACATAAATCACTAGTTTGAAACTAGCTAGCTAGCTGTTACTGATAACTTTAATTAAAAACACTGGTGAATTCAGGAAATACCAAGGATTTTTACAAATGCATCACTTTGTACGTCATTCAGTGTCACAGAAGTCAAATGTGTCCGAAACATATGTAGCACAACACACAGTGTAAAGACATCCAGTGTACACACAGTACTCCAGCACAGGTGAGGTTCTTCTCAGTTATTTATTTCTCTTGATTCGACTAACATCTTTCTCTGAGACAGAACTGCTGTGGCAAATAAACAACCTTAAGAGTCACATGCATAAAATGTGAATCACATGAGGCTGGGGGATGACAGTGGAGATGAGGAAAAGAGAGGACTTGTGTGAAGAGTGTATTGTGCCTTAGAGAAGCCCCTCAGAGGGTAATGCTCATTTTAACTGACATTAAATACTGAATGACCTGCACTGCTAAAGTTGATGGATTAGGTAGGTTGGTTCTAGGAGACTAATTGTCTGTGAGTATCAGATATTGCTTGATACATTGTCTGCTGAAGTATGACTTCAGGTGTGGGACAAACTTGTAACTACATCACTTTCGAGGTGAAGCCCTTTTGACTTGTTCTGCTGCTTCAGGACACACCACAGAGAGAAACATCACAGTCTTGTTTCACCAATCCAACCACATGCTGACCTGTACGCCACAGGACGTGTGTTTGCCTGCATCTAGACAAGAGGAACATTTTCAAAGATGAAAGCAGGAAATTAGTTTCACTTAAATAGTAAATCATATACAACATTCTCAATTTCAGGAAAACTTGTAGTGTTCAAGTTATTTAGTCGCTGGCATTTGTACATTTTGGACTCTTCATTAGTTTCAGTGTTAATAACTTTTCAGGTGGATCAGTTCATTTAGATTAAACGCTGGTAATGACCTCTTATATGAAATTTAGATTAACAGCAATGCTATAAAGAAGATGGTGTGTGTGTGTGTGTATGTGCCTGTTGGTAGCTCTAACCTATTACTGACCTGTATGGTAATCCATGTGTACACTATACCATATGTGCGCATGCTTTTTTAGAGAGCAGTCGGAAAATACAGATTTAAGGGCAAACACTGCTATGATTCAATTGCACATCCACACTTGAAATAAATACATAAATAAATATATTAAATTTGACTTTTTTTTAATAAATAATGGGAGGCAAGTTGAAGAGTAGAACAAATCCAAAGACAGTCTGTGATCTCCATGGCCGATCCCTGTGCAGTGTAATATCATTCAGTCAATGAAAACAGCCAGTCTGATGAGAGATACAATACAGCCATTGTCTGAAAATCTTATCATATTCCAAGTGAAATATGTAATAACACGGTTTCCCTGGCTGATGAGCCCGAGAGGCTGTAATGTCTTTGTAAGTTTTCATACTGCAGCAGTGTATTTTGGGCTGTGTGTGTTAAAGGAGGGAGGGTGCACAGAGATAATCTGGCAACAGTACAGAGGCTCAGTGTTTGAATTATCTCCAGCTACTTCTGCCGGGCAATGTTAGATAAGAGCCACCACTGTGTATTGCACTAGACGGATGATTTATCAAGTAGAGGCGAGATTCTATTATACGAGGTGTAGAATAACTTTGTTACAGTGTTCAGCCGTACAGCATCATCGCTGCTGATGTATATCGTTAGAGCTGCGGTGACTCCCCCTCTGTGATCCAGTTAATGTACAACAGATGGGTACTAATACTAAAGAAAACCATGACATCATTCCACAGTACTGAAGATGTGGCGTGTTGCTACCAAATCATTAGCAAAAATAATATTTTTGTTGTGCTTTTCTGTAGCTTGCTGTCAATTGAGTAGCTTCTGTTATCTCATTTCATACATGGAAGCCATTTTTTTTTTTTTTTTGTTCATAAAAACTAAATATTTGGGGCCATGCATAAATTATGTTAATCTATCCTTCATAACCAGCTGTTCGAAGGTGAGCTGTATTAAAAGCCAGCAGATGTAGCCTGAGTATCTAAATTTGTACTTTGGGGAATTCTGTCTCCTTCAAAGTGTTTTTTTTTAAAGAGGAGAGGGACTGACAAGCCTAGTGAAAACCAAATTCTCTGGCTTTGATGCTGTTTCATCCTGCTATTTTTTTTTTAGCTCGCACACAGCGAGCGGACCCTTGTTAACGGGTGGCTCGTGGACATGTGAGCGTGCACAGACAAGGGGCGATATTAGCTCTCTAAAATGACACGCACCCCCTCCGCCACAATGTCAGAAACGACACTTTAAATGAAAGCTTACATGGCAATTAGGTCGGACTTTGTGAGTCTGCTGTGTGGCTGATTTGAAATTCTTGTCTAGGCGTTGTGAATGTGTCACAAACTGGGGTTTCTGTTACCAAATGAAATTGGTGATGTGCTATTACTCTTTCCATGTGTTGAACCTAGAGTGAACCTGTGCCTTGTCATGTGTCGTGAGGAACTCACCAGGGGGGAAGAGACTTTTTCTTTTTTTACATATAAATACAGTAATTACAATGATTTAGCCAAAATTTGTCATCAATCCTCTGATTGTTCTCATGTTGAGTTACTATTTACACATGTTGCCAGAAAGGAACATCACTTGTGTATTTCTGAAGTGCTAAGAAGTGTAAGGTTTTTTTATGTTTACATAATCAGCTCCCAAGCACAACAAGGGGTATGTTTCAAACAGCAGTCTCTCTTCAAGTGTATGGGGGGGGGGGGGGGGGGCTTAAATGCATGAGTTATAATGACACCATAAAATGAACAATGATAACCCAAGAGTAAATGCAGGTAAGAGTCAGTAGTATTGAACTAACAAGTCAAGTGCTTGTGAAACACCCAAACAGATTAAATTAAATTAAAGCAAACATTTTCATAGTTATCAAAAGAACATTCCTTCCTTTGCTATGTTTGTGTTTGCTCAAAGGAAAATCCACACAAGACATATTTGTCCCTTGGAGTCGTGGTTTTATCCAGGCTGATGATGTCCTTAAATCCAAGAGGAATTCCCCTCATGTACCATGTGCAGATCCACTTTTAAAACGTTTCCATTTTTTTTTTCTTTTTTGAGGTGAAGAATATTCTTTAACCTGCTTGTTTGGTTGACTCCGCTGGCTGTATGCTTGTCATATTGTGCTGTCTCTTTTGTTGGGCTGTCCTCAGCAGGGCATCGTACCGTAAAGGTGCAGGACATGTCATTCCACACTGCGAGGCGTCCTTTATTTCATCTCCTCTGCACGTCAGTTGTAGACCTGACAAATAACTGCAGCCTCTTACTAATCTGTGCTTTAATATGGTAC